CTGAGGTCTTGTTGAAATACATATTGAAGAAAGTCTATTCTTCAACAGGTCCGCTGAGATATTTTCATGCTTAGATGAAATTATCTGAAAGGTGTTTCCAGTCTATTATAAGTCAAGAAACCTTGTCTCTCTTCCCCCCAGCCCCACCCCCCACCCCAATTATTGAAGTATGTTCCCTCCAAGGAAATGAAGGGAAGTTTCAGAAGCAATTCTCCTTAGGCACAGATTGCTTCTTGCCCTTTGAAATAGCTTAATATTAGTCAACATAAGGCCAAGCCTGGCAATGGCTGCTCTAGCCTTTCTGGCTTCTGTTGCTGCCATGGGGCTGTTCAGCTGCAGGACATACCTAGTTTGCACCTGAGATGACATTCTGCAGGATAAAAGACCTGGTGACCTCCATAAAATTTGGAATATAACTCCCAGAAATCTTCTCCACTGGACTTGCTGTTAGGAATAATGGTTATTGAAGTTCAGAGATCCAGAGAGAAACTCATTGTCTACCCATGGCATAATTATTTGGGAGGAAAGCAGTCTTATTACACATAAATTGGAAAGATGGTTACTTTTCATTGTTCCAGAAGTCTAGTGAAGAAGATGATTTCCAGAAACATTGGGTGTAGGCCCCATAGTTCCATCGTTTTTAATATATCTGGGTCATGGTACTATTATTAAATAAATGAGGACTCATATTAATTCTATTTAAGTTACACTTAAATGAAAATTCCATTTTTGCCTCTAACACTTTTTTTCTAGCTTTGTCTAGCACACCACTAACATGGACAAATGCAGTCTTTGTACCTAGCACTGGTTCTATAGGAGCAGAAAGCATTTTCCTTTGCCTCTTGAGAAGTTACATCTCAGTGTTGGGGGGTATTTCTGAATAGACTGGGAAATGGCACAGGGAGAGGGCTGGTGGCAAAAAAGGGAGGGGGGGGGAATTTGACAGGGAAAAATCCAAAGCCACCATTTGTTATATGCATATCAAAGCATATCACCCACAGAATTCCACCCAAGGAATCTATCAAGCCATGACAACTTAACCCCTTTTCTTCCATTTCTGTTCTCTACAAGTCTACATATAGACTCAGCTTTAGTCTGTCAATTGGCTAAATGTAATACCGTAACTCTTAGTTTTTCATGCTTTCAGCCCCTAGGCTTACACATCTCCTCTACACTGAATCAGAATCAGAACTGACCAGGACCTACCTCAAGGTCCAGCTAGGAAATTTGCTCATTTGTCACCTCTCAGACAGATTCCTTTCAATTTTTTTTTTAAAAGGTGAAATTGCCCAGAAATGCCATGAGTCCCTTCACACTCTGAAAAATAGACACTGATTTGAAATGAATGCAAACATTTATTTATTTATTTATTTATTTATTTATTTATTTATTTATTTATTTATTATTTATCAAATTTATATAGTCCCCCCATCTCACAAAAAGTGACTCTCCATTTTCCCCCCTCTTCTATTGCAGCTTTAATCGCCTTGACTTACCTCCATATGAATCTTTTGAAGAATTGCGAGAGAAGCTTCTTATGGCAGTTGAAAACGCTCAAGGATTTGAAGGAGTGGATTAAGTTGGCGCCTGCTCCTGCTTATTATTATCATTATTATTATTGTTATATTATTATTAAAACAAAGATTCTGTTCTTGGAGCAAGTTCTGCAAGCACTTTTTGATTTGCCAGGCAGACATTTACAGGAGATGGAGCAGAACAATTGCACAGCGGTTGGTTCATGGAGCAAGAAGCTTCTGTCCAGTGCCGATGTCTAAATCCAGCAATGGGAAATAACTTCCTTTCACTTGTGGATAATATTTCTGAAATTTCCACCACAAATTACCAACTGGTTGATGTATACTCTAATGACATTTCAGCAGGACTTGTCTATTTATGTTGTGCCTCTGTAGGCAAAAGCCCTTAATAAATGTTTTACATACTTTCTAATGGCAATGAATGGAATTAATCATTTTACAGGTATAGTATTACAGTTCACGTTTACTTTGGAACAATGATTTTCAAGTTTTATTTCCTTGCAATTAAAAAACAATAATGTACTGGAAGAATGAGCTCATTTTGTTTCCTCTTAATTTGTCTAGACTGTATGCCAGAAGCATTCTGTTCCCCCAAATCTGCTTTTTGTTGTTTTTAGCATCATGCTCTTCTCGTCTTTTAGAATAAGTAAATTTTTTGTAAGATATATTCTGCAATTGGAAATATTATCTGAAAGTACCGAATGCCTTTTTAAATGCGTGCATTGTGGTTTCCAAGACAGCAACGAAAGCAAAATTTGTGATGGGGTGGAGACAATATTTCTACAAATCATCCAGAATATTTACAGGAAGATCATAACATATTCCAGCATGCCAAATCTCTCCTTCAATAACAAAATTGCCTCCCTATTTCTTAAGTATTTATATGTATTATAGCATTTTTGGTGATGGGTTGGGGCACTATTGTCATTGGGGGGAAAATGTTTGATTGTTTGTTGTATAGTGACTGTTTTACTAATTCTCTCCTCTTGCAATGGAGGCATTTTGAATGAATCCTGATCTTGCTTGATCTCGAGGCTGTAAAAAGTACTTTTCTGTTTGTATGCATTTGTTAGTATCTAAATGAGAAGGATTTCCCCCCTTTATTTTTGATTGCACCGATTCTAGAAGCACTTTATGTACCACATGGAGATCTCTTTTTTTAAATCATAAATATTAATGTGATAGTATGCCTTCTCCTTGCCCATGTCTTTTTGGTGCAGTATCTTTCAGTTGTGAAATCTGGCAATGGCTGAAAAAGTACAGAAAAAACTAGAGAGAGCTGAATTTAGAGATATTAGTTGTATTTTGTGGTGTTGGGCTCCATCCCCCCCCCCCAAGATTTATTTAATAAATGCAGTTATCTAGCCACTTTTATAACGTATGACATGTTGCATGAATAAATGATAATGCTTGTCTTGTAAATGTTATGTAATAGTGTAAGAGGGAAAGAACAAACACAGTTTCTCTAATCCACTGGAAGAGGACTCAGAGCAGAACACATTTGATAAATCACAAAGCTGATTCAGTGCAGCTTTCCATATCTTTGCCTTCAAATCTAAAATCAACCAATGGGTAACAGTCCAACGAAGGCTGCAGACTTAAATAGACTACTAGGGTGATGCTAGACAGTCTGCAAACATCTCCCTGGGCACCCAAGTTTTAATTTTTCTAAATATGTCTTTTAATAAAAAAAAGATTCATGGACCCGTTGGCATTCAGCTAAGCGAAGGACCAGCCTTTGACAGTGCTCTCTGCCCCCCTGCCCCCAACAATATAATGGTCACCAGATAGGTTTCACAGTCATTCTTAGAAAGTAAGACCAGCTGGGTAGCTACGCTATGACTAGTCCATGGGTTGGGGGAGGCACATTTAAAGAAAGCAAGAAGTTGTAGAAAGCATCTTCAAAGGGAAAACAAGTTGGAGGAAAATTAAATCTTTGGTGGCAGCCATTTCGCAAATGCCCAGGCCTGCCCTGTGGAAACTATTTTGTGAGCTGTTGCCTTCAACACCATCTAAAAATCAGAAATGTACTCGCTACCCAAAATATATTGTTCGCTGAAGGTAATGCCCTTTATTGAGTAATTTCCTGTAAGTATTTTCACAAAACAGGATTCTTATTGGTGTTTCCCCTTTTCCTTCCCTCTTTCTTGATTTGTTTTCTGTCTCTAAAATGTTAGTACAGCCCAATTTAGGTCAGAAGGACCTTCTGGCTCAAAGCTGAAGACAAGCATATTAATTGGATTTCTTTTAAGCTCTGTATACCTTTCAGATGTTGCTATACTGCAGATGCAAGACTAATTGAATTTACTGGATATCCATGGTAGAATACAGCTTCTTTGTCCTTCCTGTTCTTTCAGCTTATCTGTGCATTGTGAAATGATTTGATGACGGTTTACTCTTGCTCTATAATCATTCAGCCCACCTTCATTTCTCAATATATGGTTCTCCCACCTGTGCTGACAATATATTCTGGTACATTCTCTTAGAAGTAAGATCCACTGGGTTCAGCTGGGCTTAGGCCCAGATAAATGGCTACAACAGGTTTCCAAGAAGGTGTCTTCCAGATGTGTAGGACTACAACTCCCAGAACTCTACCAGCATAGTCAGCCAGATCAGAAAGGCTGAAATATAGGATTATTGAATAAAAAACAGTGGAAAGGGGAGATGAGAAAAAAAGGAATACCTTATGGTGTCACAATAGCTTGTAAAGATAAAACCACATTTTTGGAGTATTGTTTAAGTAGAAGGATGGGATAAAACATTTTAAAGAAATAATAATTAAAATAAATAAGTTAGTGTGTTATTAATGGCTACCATGGTGTCCTGGCTGAATGGAGAGCTATTTGTTTTGCTTCATCTAGCCCTGCCCTGACAAAGTGATGTAAAAATGATTCTGGTGTTTCAGTTAGATGCTTTATAAAAATGGCTAGTCATCCTACACAGACATAAAAGGACCAATTTTGTAACACAGAAAAATGGTCAGTAAATATTAGGAGGGTAATAGAAAGCTCAGATAAGCATATTCTTTGGGGAAAAAACAACCCACCCAATTCACCAGAAAAAAGGTTAATCACATTGTCAATTGAGTCAAATCTTGCTTATGTATTTCTTCCCCCTTATCCTCATCTGCCATAGTTTTGACAGCCCTGTTCCTTATGTTGTTTAAAAGACAGCAGGCAGGATCAAAGAACCTTGCTGAATAAGGTCTAAATCTCTTGCATTTATTGGCAGCCCCAGAGACACAATGGAAGGCAAAGAGAGTGGGAAAAGGGCCAGGCAGAAAATGACTCTGGTCATTTATTATGAAATAAGACAAATAAGGAGTTGCATAACCTGAAAAGTCCAGAAATTCTTAACAATTGTAATTTTTAATGAAGCAGAAGAAGGGAAGTATTAAATGCAATTACTCCCTACTCGTGGAAAAGTATTAACTACTTCAAATATGAATGTCAATGAAATGAATTCAAGTTAGTTTTTGTTTGGACCTCATCCACTTTCCTTGGAGATGCCCCTTTAGCACATTATTAAAGGTTGTTTATGGACCTTGACCCTAGAATGTTACACATTTTTTGCTTTGGGAGTCTATGCATTGCTTCTGGAAATACAGATAGATAAATTCTCCCATGTTGGGATATTGTATTCCCAAACTCTGGATTCTTCAGATAGAGCTTATTTAGGTCTGTAGCCTAAGGAATGGTGCAACAATTGGCCCCATTGACAAAAAGAGTTGCTCTGTGTGTGTGTGTGAAGACATAAAGCTATGTTTCAGCTCAGCTCTGAAATTAATGGAGAACATCTTGTTGGGGGGTGGACAAGCAGTAATTGCCTGAAGGGAAAAACTCATCTAAATAGAAACCTTCATTGCCTTTGGCTTGAAGCAGCCTGGGATAGGACTTCAGATGAACAGGGCATCATTGCTTTGGTCTTGCTTTAGCAATAGGCAAGCTGACTGAGGGTGATGCTAGTTATAGTCCAACATAAACTGAGTTTACCAGACTGTATCTTGTGGAGTTCTTGATGTTCTTTGAACTTGATTGTTTGCTTACAGATGTTTCATTACCCAACTAGGTAACATCATCAGTGCTAGTGAGTGGAGGGTTGGCTCCCTGTTTATATACTGTTTATATACCTGTTTATAATTATATAATTATACTTATATAATCAAGGAACTACCAAGGAGAAAGCCACACCCCCACCGATACTGGCGGGGCAAGCTGCTGTATACAAACAGGAAGCAAACAACCGAGCTCAGAGAGCACCAAGGACTCCACAGTTCAACCCTGAGCTACAGATATTCTCTTCTATTGAAACTGTATCTTTGTTGTTCAACTTTGGTGTCACAAAATTTAGTTCTAAAGCCTGGGCTATTTTTCTGAAATGTCTGAAGTCTTTATACCATAATTTTTGTGAATGTACAAAGTTATGAAGTAGCTTCTCTTCAGAAATAGACATTCTATATAATCTTCCATTAGTTTTGCTCTTTTGTGCCTTTCAGGGCATTATTGTGCCCTTATTTTCATACTTCCCTGAAAGGAAGATGACCCTAAATTTAAATGATCCGTTCCACAAAAAGGAAGAGTAGATTTGAATTAAAACCCCAGGCAAAAGTCCTATGTGAGGCCCAGCTTCCCTCCTTATCAACTAGACTTGCCAACTTCAGCCAAAATAAAGTTCTCCCCTGAATAAATATGTGCCCATAAGATGTGTGTGTCTGTGTGCTTCTGCTAGGAGCCAAACAAGGACAGGGCAGGGACAACAAAATAGATTAATAGTAATTGAATTCATAACTATCAATCAAATTTAGTTTCCTA